GTTTGGCCCCCGCGCCCAACGCTACGGGCAAAAAAAAAACGCTGTTGCACTCACGCACCGCACCGCACTACCGCACTCTCGCACTCACGCACCGCACAGCACTCCCGCACTCGCCCGCTTCGGTTTTCGCTGCCCGTCCGCGTCGGCTCAGCCCTCCGCCCCTTGCCCGCTTCGCTTTTCCCTGCCCGCTACTTTCCCCGCCCGTCTCTGCGCGGGCCTCGGCCCTGGGCCGGTTCCCCCGCGTCGGCTCGGCCCTCCGCCCCTTGCCCGCTTCGCTTTTCCCTGCCCCCCGCGACGGTCGACACGTCCTCCCGACCGCGGTGTCCCAAGCGGTTTCCGTTGGGCCCGCGACCGACCATGTCGCCAGACCCTTTGCTTGCTTTAGTATGTATAGAGAAGAAAGAATGATGATCCACTTTCGTCACCCGCATCTGGGTACCCAGTGCCATGCCTCTGAATACCATCTTCCCCCAAACACAACACACTCATAATGACTGCATCACACTGGAAAGAACTCTTGTACATTCATAATGAGGGTGCATTTTGTTAAGGGGAAGATGGTAGCAGTGTTATATAAGTTTGCAGCCTTTGCAGGGGTAAATATCTGACAATGTAGGTTATATATAGACCGTTATTAGGGTCCAGTAGGGTTGGCCTTACGTCAGCAGCTCTGATGGTGTTATTTATTCTGAACTCAGACATTTCAAAATTCAAAGTGATTGCTAACATTTGGCGTGAAGCAAGGAGGAAATGATGGGCTGAGAACTGAGCGAAAATTTTGAGGCAACTGAAAGTGATTGTTAATGTGCTGTGTTTTTTGTTTTGTTTTGTTTCTTTCACTTTAGATGCATACTTAGCAGAAAGTTGTTATCTGATGTGGCGGCAGGTTCGGACTGGTTGCAAGGTCCGTTTATATATTCTTTGTATTCAAGCTATAAGTTCTCGAAGGCCGATATTTCCAAGCTGTATGTCACTGGATTTCTGAGCTCCACACTCTTTGGCACAGTTATGGGGGTTGTCGGCGATAAATAGTGAGTGCAGTTCTGATGATGTGTGTGCAGTTGCAATGTGGCATGCTGGCTTGTGTAACTTAGAAAGACAGAGAGAAAACAATCCCTGAAAAATAACTTGTTGTAAGATCCTGTCCTGGGGACATGATACTCCAAACCAAGCTACCGCTCCTGCAGTTCCTACTGCTGCGGTTTCCACTGCTGCAGTTTTCAGTACAGCAGTTTCCCTAACTGTGATTCCCCCTACTTTAGTTTTTACTGCTACATCTTCCTGTCCTGCAGCTCCAATGCAAAGAACATCACAATCTCTCTGACGCTCACGTCCTTTGCTCCGAAATCTTGCCCAATGCACCCCCCTCTCATCTTTGTCTGTGCTTGGCTGTAGATGGCAGCGTTCCTCCTCACCACCCCCATCTCCTCCACGTTCTCGCTTGCGAACAGACTCTCCAGTTTCCATTGTTCCCATTGTTCCACCTTTGTTGCTAGGTATAAGTTCAGCTTTTGTTTGCAACATCACTACTCCTCTTGTTGTGTATCACCGACGACATGCGCGACATCGTCACTTGTCCGGGGATCAGCAACCTGTTTCTTTGTCTGCCCCGATTCTCTCTGTGCCTCCTCCACAGGTTGTTGCGGTTCCTTTGTGTCAAACGACAATATCTGCCCCTATGCCTCCTGCAGACAGTCCAGCTGCCTGCAGGCAGCCACGGTACCCTGCGGCGTTAGATATTCACGACTCACCTGTACAACACGATGTGGTCCCTGCCCAGAGTACACTCCCGACTCCAGGTACCGTCCCTACTCAGGATGCAGCCGCTGCCCAGAGTACACTCCCGACTCCAGGTACAGTCCCTACTCAGGATGCAGCCCTAACCGTTGAGGGATTGGAACATGATCTGCCCGGATTGCAGTTGACCCCACAAGGCGTAGACCACATGGGGGATCTGCAAATGGCTGACCAGCATTGTTCGGATGAGCCACAATTTTGTGCTCTGCCACACGCAGACCACATGGGTGATCTGCAAATGACTGACCATCAAACAACCCAACACAGTTTGGGCTTGCAACACCATCTGGGTGATCTGCAAATTGTTAGCCAGCATCCAACAAACCAGCCTGAGAACCTCACCAATCTCTGTGGTCTGACAGCAACTAATATCTGTCTTCACATTCTCCACCGCCCGTTTTATACACCATCAGACTTCCTTGCAATCGCCCTTCAGCTTGATGCTGATCTTCCCCAACGACAGCCAGAGGATTGTAATTATACCAGCGAAGGAGGCTTTACCATTGCTGTCCTACAAGTAGCAATGAGGGACCGTCAACTTCAACTACGCAATGCTTGATCAGGTGAGTGGTTTAATCCTCCATCCCACATCTCTGCCTGCATTGTGCACGGTCCTGGCCATTACATGACCATTGTACATCCCTCTGACCACTAGGAGCTGTGGGACAACGGCACCATGGTCCATGCCATGATTAATGTCACTGATTTCTTACAAAATGATGCTGTTTTCTTGCCACAACAACCGTCAGCAATCTCTTTTATGTCGAAGATCATTCTTCTGGCCCCGTGCTGCAGCAGGACAATGTACCAACACTCTGCGACCTTCTCCTTTGCACAGCCACAAACACTGTTACACTCGGCTGTAGCGGCCATCGTCTCTGTCACAATCACCACAATGACATGGTTTCTGCATCCATGTGTGCAGAGGACTGTCCCACCATTCCTGACTGCAGGTACCCTCCGCATCCGGACACACTATGTCCGCCATGGGCGCTATACTGAATGCATGCTTTTTTGTGGTGACCGTTCTTCTTTCATTCTGGCCTGCAATCGACATGCCATTTGTCGGGGGCATGCTCAATGCCACCCGTCGTGGCAATTGTTGCACTGAGAATGCTCAGCTATGTCTTCCATGTGTTCATCCACCTCATCCTTACAATGTATGTCCTCTCTGTCGTCAAGGACAGACTCATTCTTGAGCCTTTTCTTATCCTCTTTTGCCTTCATCTTCACTCCACACTCCATACTTTCCCTTTATCGTTCTTTGTTTTTGTGTGCTCTCCATCTCTCCGCCCTGTGTTTATCCCTTCCCCCTTCACTCTGCCTCTTTCTCACAGCGTACAAGTGGGCTGTTATGGCACACGGGGATGGGGGCAGCTCGCGCTCAACTTCATCAATGTGGCGAGCCTTGTACGTGAGAGGCACGGTGAAAGGGGAGTCAGAAGAAGAATGAGAAAAATGAATGGTTTCACTGTGCCCTTCATGTTTGTCTTTTTTTTTTTTTTTTTCTGCCGTTTGTTTCGCAAGTGCGCTCTTTTAGTTCATAGTTATGTGACAATATATAGATATATATACTGAGGTACCTTCATTTATTTTTACACCCTCAGATGGGGGGGGCTAGCACGTGAGGAGGTGATAAAAGCACCCTCCCAACCTGGCCCTCTGGTAGCAGACTCCATCTATTGGTAGGGAGCTGCACCTGTTGGAAACCGGGTCTGGCGTCCCTCTTGATACACAACATGGCACATAGATGATTGACTACTTTTTGACACGAGTGTCAATACACATTTTGCTCCCGACGTGTCTTCTTTTTGCTTTCTTTTATGCTGCCTTCTTAGGGGTCCACATTTTCTTCCAGCTGCACCAGGAGTGTCCTTTTTTCCCCCTACCCAAATAGAACATAGAACTCTACTGTCTTTCTTTTTTGTGCTAATAAAATGACCTGGGATCATTGCTGTATTGCATGGACCCTTAAACCACCAGTACTTCCGAGGCACTTTTCTCCCGGGCTGGAAATGCGCTGTGCACCAAAAAGAAAAAAAGAACTGACGTGGGCCTCCTTTTGGCTGGCGCTACCAGCCATTTTGCTCCAGCGGCTGAGCCCCGAAAGTCGTGGCAGCATGCAACTCTCGACTTCGAAAAAATCGCTGGGAAACGTACTGGTGGTTTAATCGCCCCTGACTCTATTATGGTAGCAATGATACTTTGTTGCCTAGTCAGGGAAAGATGGTAGTTGATAGTTATGTGGGGCATTCACACAAGCGTGCCGCTTAATCTCGGTTCTTGGTTCCTGGTTCCCCTTACGTTTTCTAAGTTCTTTTTGTTTTGTGATTTCAGTGTTGTTGGCACTTGATTGCTGCTGTGGCCGTTTTGGCTGAAGTGATGATTTGTTGGGCCATTTGCACCAGCAGTTCACACAAACCTCAGCAGTGCTCTTACCGGTATACGCGGTAAGAGCATTTCGATCGGGCCTGAGCTGGTAGCGAAAGTGGTAGGCCACTTTGAAAAGGTGAAGTAGCAGGCTCACGGACCTTGGAAAGTAGCTTTGTGAACTTAGGCTTGCGTGAACTGGTGGTTTAACTCAGCATGCTTTTGTCTCTAGAGAAACTACACGTGCGTGCATGTGCAATTGTGTGATGGGATCGAGGCATGGGCTGGGTTGTGTAGCAAAACAGTGGTGTCAGTGGACCCTTTCTTTTTTCTTCATGACTGTTGGTTGTACCTGTGCAACTGTGCCTTGCACAATCTGCTGCAAGTGCTGGATTGTCAATGTGTTTGAGGGATCGACTCTGTGCGGATGGGTGTAGCACAGTAGGTAGGGAGTCCCGTTGCAAAACACAGGTTGCGGGTTCGAGTCTTGCCTTGCTCAGATGAGAATCAGGAACCGTGATCCATCCGGTCATGCAGTGAAACTCAGTAGCGGGGGAGACGTAATGGCCGTCATCTTTGAGAGCATTAGATGGTGTGTCCAAAACAGCGGCTGGATCCCAGGTTTACTTGAGGTAATTTGCTGCATTCTTGCCTTCAAAGAAACCAGCCATCCATACATTGTGTTTATGTGTGTGCAATGCCTCTCTTCTTTCACTAGTGGGTGCTTAAACCACAACTCCCTTTCTCGGCTATCTCGTTCCTACGTGGCTGTTACTCTGCCGCATTAACAGGGGCTCTGCCTACCCGACTGAAATGGCTGGTGGCGCCTACAAAGTGACAATTTTTTGTTCCACTTTTTCTCGGTGCACAGCGGCAATTTGGGTCGGGAAAAAGATGCTTCAGGTTACTGGTGGCTTAAGTGGGTTAAGTAGGTAACCTGGGTTGAAGATCCTGCTCTTTCTGGGTGGTTAAACTGGCGAAGTGACGGATGGTGATGCTCCTCTGCTTATGCCCGCCGCTTCACCTGTAGAAGGAGGGGATCTATCGTCATCCAGTGCTAATCATTAATCCACAAGCTGACATTTGCCTGTAGGTAACCTGGGTTGAAGATCCTGCTCTTTCTGGGGGGTTAAGCCGGCGAAGCGACGGATGGTAATGCTCCTCTGCTTATGCACTCTGCTTCACCTGTAGAAAGGAGGGCATCTGTCGTCATTCAGTGCTAATAATTAATCCAGCAGCTGGTGCTAATCATTAATCCACCAGCTGACGTTTGCGTTCTTCAGCCACACGGCCCACCCCCCCCCCTGTGACTTACCTACCACTTTTCTATAGACGTGTGTGCTGCGCACCATCCTTGCAAGCTCTACGTTCCAGTGACGGATGCGAAGCATGTTCATGGTCTGGGCATAACCCTGGAGGGTGCTGGCACCAGCGTGCTAGCTTGTCGCTTGTCGCTTGTCGCAGATCTATTGAGTCTGTCAGCACCTCTGTCTCTTTTGTGCCGAGTAACATAGTGTAGTTTGTACCTTGGCGAGTTCCTGATGGCTTCTGCGTCTCCTCTGCGACAAATAACTTAGTCCTTAGCCCGACATGAGGAGAGCATGACATGCGTGGAGTGTGTATGTAGCCTGACAAGTGTGGAGCATGATATGCATTGATTTCATTCTAAATTATCACTTTTTGTGTAAGCTACCGCTGCGTTGTCATTCATCTCATCAAAACCACTTTTGCCCTCAATGCCAGATCGGCTCTGCGATAACGACAGCAGTGCCTCTTCTCCGTTTTGCGATTCCTTACCACTGTCGCGGTCTATGTTACCTTTTCTATGCTTTGGATTTTGCCTGCTTTGTTGTCGTGCCCTTGTTTGATCTGACTTCTAAAGGATGGAGTCCAACTGACTGTCCTTCCAATGAAACTGTGACTATATGGTTGGATGGATGTATGGGTGCCTCCTGTCTGTAGGGGAGGAGGGTATAATGAAAAAGAAAGCGAGAGGGAGAGACACACAGACACACACACGGACACAGACACACACAAGAAGAACGCCATGCCGTCTGCCGGGAGGACGACAGTACTGCACTTGGCGTGAACATAGAAGTCCTGTCTATGGCATTTATTGATAAGCGACTACATCTCCAGCCTGCGTCGCAAAATCACGTGCCAGGCATGGATCCGAATATTCAGGCATACATCTTACATCGTCCAGGTTATTTTACCTTTGCAGATAACTCATGGACCCTATGGGACAATGGCGGTAGGGTGCACACAGTGGGGAATATCAACTCTTTCTCTCACCACCGGTAGAACATCATTTGGTTGGGCTCGTCCATCAGGAACAGTATGTCAATGAGCACTTGCAAGCACTACTGCCTCTGGAGAGCAATCCGGCTATGGCCAGCCAGTGTCCCCTCCCTGTGTGGATCGCACGGATTCAACCACGAACAGTGAAGGGACGTGTCCAGAGGATGTTGGCTGTGCCCTCCCATTGTGTCGTTGCACAGGTACAGTTCAGTTGGCATGTACATGGCATAGCCTCTACTCCGAACGCTATGAAGGGATGGTTCCTGCTGGCCTCTGCCACGAAAACTGCGATCCTTTGACTTGTGCTCATCCCCCTCACCCCTGATTACTCGCCCAGCATGCCGTTGTGGCCTTGATCTGCCATGCTTAAATGACTGCGCATGTCAGCCTTCTTTGCTGATGACATGTCAGCAACATGCCATGTGTCATCAATGTTTCCAGGAAGCTGTCATAGAAAGTATGTGTCTCTACTGTGTGGACTATCCCCGGTGCCATCATCCACCACATC